AATTTTGATTCTGAAGGACCTGAGTTCAGTCCCACTCTGCCACTTATTTGCTGCGTGAATGCAGACAAGGTACTTAACTTACCTAAACTTTGTTCTCCTCTTAAAGAGTCCCTACCTAATAAAATATGTGTGACAATTAAATGAAAACAAAAATCTAGTGTTTGTCAGCTCGGCGCCCCATAGCACAGTGGCTATGGCGCTGGCCACATGCACCAAGGGTAGTGGGTTCAAACCCAGCCCAGGCCAGCTAAACAACAATGACAACTGTAACCAAAAATAGCTGGGTGTTGTGGTGGGCACCTGTAGTCCCAGCAACTCAGGAGGCTGAGGCAAGAGAATCGCTTAAGCTCAAGAGTTTGAGATTGCTGTGGGCTGTGATGCCGTGGCATTCTATCAAAGGCGACCTAGTGAGAGTCTCAAAACAAAAAATATCTGGTATGTATCCAAAGGAAAAGAAATCATTATGTCAAAAAGACACCTGCAATCATATGTTTATTATAGCACAATTCATAACCACCAAGATAGGGAATCAAGCTAAGTGCCCATCTACTGATGAGTGGATAAGGAAATGTGATATCTACACACACACACATCGTGGAGTACTTCTCAGCCATAAGAATAAAATGATGTCTTTTACAGGAACTTGGATGGAACTGGAGGCATGATCCTAAGTGAAGTAAGTCAGGAACAGAAGAAGAAATGTTGCATGCTCTTTCACGGAAGGTGGAGTGAAGGGATGGCTCTGTACCGACACACACAGTGCAGACTTAAAAGGGGGGAGGCGGAAGGGAGTGAGGACTGTAAAATTACCTTTCACATACAATTGTGCACTATGTGAATCATGGATACACTAAAAGCCCACACTTCACCCTATACAACATATACGTGTAACAGAATTCAATTTGGATTCTCTCAATCTATTGACTTTTTTAAAATGAAAATAAAGATCTATTGGCAGAGTATGTGCTCAACTCATGGCAGCTATTACTATTCACATCCCATTATAATACTGGATCTAGTTGCACTGGAATTATTTTTCCTAAATAAAAACACACAGACTATCTGAATCTTGATTGTAGCAAAGCAGAACAAGTCTCACATAATAACGTGAGATAACTTCAAGTGGAGAAATGCTTGACAAATGCGTTATCATCTAACATCCAGATTTAACAATCTGTTCTGTTAAAAAAAATTAAAACAGGGCAGTGCCCATGGCTCAAAGGAGTAGGGCACTGGCCCCATAGGCCGGAGATGGTGGGTTCAAACCGAGCCCCGGCCAAAAAAAAAAAAATTAAAACAGATCAATGAGGCTCCGCGCCTGTGGCTCAAGCGGCTAAGGCGCCAGCCACATACACCTAAGGTGGCGGGTTCGAATCCCCAGCCCGGGCCCGCCAAACAACAATGACGGCTGCAACCAAAAAAATAGCCGGGCGTTGTGGCGGGCGCCTGTGGTCCCAGCTGCTTGGGAGGCTGAGGCAGGAGACTCGCTAGAGCCCAGGAGTTGGAGGTTGCTGTGAGCATGATGCCATGGCACTCTACCCAGGGGGATAGCTTGAGGCTCCGTCTCAAAAAAAAAACAAAAAAAAGATAATGAAAGGAAAATTTCTTAAATTTAGTAAGTGACTTGGTTCCTTGGTTCCTTTATACAAGCAACATACAGTCCCGTCAGGGAGATAGCTGGCAAGTTAAAGAGTTTATAAAGGTCAACAACAGCAAAATAAGGCAGGTTCTGCCAATAGATCTAATGAATAATATAGTTCCTCTCAGGTGCAGTGGCTCATGCCTATAATCATAGCACAGGATCAGAAGGCTGAAGTGGGAGGATCCCTGGAGACCAGCCTGGCAACAAAGTGAAACTCTCATGATAACCAATATATACTGACATCAAAGGATGATACAAGTTGGGTAACTATAATAGTAACTGCAGATGTTAAGTATGACTTGAGTATTTTTTACAAATTTAAAACAATTCTTTCCTTTCTTAAAATATGCAAACATTTTTAGCACCCTCTGTAGTTTTGATTTTGCATATTTAAAAACCAAGGGTCCCAGGAATCTTAAAATTGAATAGAAACAGAAACAAACTAATGCAACTATATATCAAATTAATAATATGATAACACAGAAAGCAAAAAAAAAAAAAAAGAATCCAAGTGATTTTTGAAAATAATACTCAACACATGTCCACTGGGATATATAGCTGTTCCCTGACTTATGATGGGATATGTCCCAAAAAACTTAACATAAAATTGGGAAATCATAAGTCAAACTATTATACACTAGGGACTGGCTATATTGACGAATAAAAAGAACTGCAAAGAAATCTTTAACTGTATTTAGTAAGTCTGTGGTTGGTAATGGCATTGGGACAGCAATCATACTATTTGGTGCTTAATATAGACGAAGAAAATACTAAGAATGGAGTTCTTACTGAGGGAGAAGAGAGTTATAAATATAGAATGGTTAAAGAGGCAGAAGAATTGACTAGATTAGTCTTAAGAGATAGGAGGAAAAATTCATGTCTTTGTAAAAATTCTATTTCTTAGCTTTGGAAACGGATAGAGAAGCAATGACTCCAGTAGTCTTCAGCACACCAAGCACCCAGGTCTTGATTCCTAAATACCGTCCCCACTAAAAGAAACCAAGGAATCTAACGATTCTAAGGCTAAGACAGGAAGCCACAAAATGAGTCCAGAAGGTCTTTCTGCATCAGAAAATAAGGAAGTACATGAAATCAGACAGGAACACAGCAAAAGGACACTGAAGTTTACCAAATTTGGGGCCACTGAGCATTAAAATAGACAATGACAACAATGTTGTCTTTAAAAAAGAAAAAAACCCACAAGTCCATACTAATGCTAAAAAAAAAAAAAAAAATTAAAAGGGAGTCTGTGTGTGCACAAAAGCTATTCATTCCAGAAGAGTGTAAATGAATAAGAATGGAAAAATACTTGGCCCTGAGTCTTCAGAAACGGCGATGTTATAAAGTACCAAAAATATTGGCAATAGCTTTAGAGTAAATGAAGTGTGTGGCACGTGACTGGCTTCTGGACTCTATCACGAAAACAGCACTGTATCAGTTTCCTGACAGCAACGATGATTCTATGACTTGCTGAACAATGCTTTTGTTCTTGGGAGGCACAGGATGAAGTATTTATAGGTAAGGTACCATGAGGTCTGCAAACTCTCAAATGGTTTAGCCACAAAAAAAAAAAAAAAAAAAAGCGTGTGTGTGTGTGTGTGTGTGTGTGTATGTGTGAAAATAAAAGGAATGTGACAAAACATTAACTGGTGTGGTGACAGGAGGAGAAAGTGTGTAAGTGTTCCTTGTACTATTTTTGCCCGTTATGAAGATTCTAAGCGTTCCAAAGTTTTTTACATCTTGAAATATTAACCACTTCCATCCCCCCTGTCTTTGCTTTACTTTATGACCATCTTACATCTACATACTTGTTCATTTATTTACTTACTATCTCTCTCCCTCACCATGATGTAAGCTTCACACAGGCAGAGAACCACTGGTACCTCACTGTATCCCCAATCCTTTGTACAGTGCCTGACGTGTAGTTGAAATTCAATGAATATTTATTGAATGACTGATGTTCACAATAATTCCATGAAGTAGGTATATTATTATACTTTTCCTCAAAGGTGAAGGTACTGAGATAAACAGAACTCAGGTAACTTCTATAAGTTCATAACTCAGATCTTGCAGGGGTGGGACCAGGGTCCGTAGCCAGATATCTGACCCTGGAGCTGACACTGTTAATACTGTGTTTGGCGGCTCCCCTAGTTAGGCAGGCCCAGTCCCGAAAGGGCTAATCATTATTAGAAAGAGGATTACACCACTCAGTCTTGTCCTCAGTTTAAGGCCTACAGAGTGGCTTCTTAATACATACTTGCTGAATGAAATGCCCTCTGAATGAATATATGCCTTGGCGGGGAGACCACCACAAAGGGACTGTTCAAAGAAGGAGGTGAGGTGGAGAAGCTGGATGGGCAAGGTGGGTTTGCAGTGGAAGAGCGGACACAGGTGTAGGCACCTCAGCTCTCTGACCCGGTTGCCAAGGTCAAAGAGCCCTCGAGTAGAGACCAGTAAGGAGTCGGGGAGTCGCTGTACTCCAGGGGTTTGGCTATGGCTTGACCAGGAGTCAGTGTCTGGAGGAGTGGAGGGGTAGAAATGGAGACTAAGACATCCACTTCGAGGGGCTGTGACGACTTAGCTGAAGACGGAAAGGATGAACAGAGTTCTAGACACTAGTTGTCTTACGTTTGGAAGGGAGGAGAAAGGCGCAGTAGCTGCACCACTTTGGAACCACCACTCTGCTCTTGGCCGCACCCCTGCTCCGCGTCTGGAGGAGCGGAAAGGCCGCCTCGCAGCGCCCGGGAGGCTGATCGGGGCCCGACGGTCGTGCCCAGCCCGGGGGCTGGGGGACGACAGGCCTCCTTCTCCAGGGAGCACGGCCCCGGCCGCCCGGCCCGGCTTAGGCGAGTCCCACGCTGGGCAAGTAGTTAGAAAGTCGGCTTAAGTTCGCGACGTTCCCGCGGGAGGCCGAAGAAAGTAACATGGCAGTCACTCAGAAAACACTCTCTCTCTCTCTCTCTCTCTCTCTCTCTCTCTCTCTCTCTCTCTCTCTCTCTCTCTCGCACACACACACAAACACACACACACACCCGTCAATGAGCTCTGGGTGGGGAGCGGCCGGATGGCGGGAATGGGGCCCAAGAAGCATTTCTAGAGACGGAGAACCCCTAAGCGCTCTGAAGAGGAGAGCGGGCTGGAGTTGGGTCCCTTTCCTAAGGTCAAAGTTTCCTCCAGATGACAGGAAGGGAATTCAGAGGTGCTCCTGACACACCCCCACACCCGGCCCCGACCCCAGCCGCCTCCTGCCCCGCGTGTCTACCGTGCCCCGTGCCTGGGGGCACCGACAGCCCAGGGGCTGCCCAGAGTCCGCGAGAGGGTGCCGGGCTCCGGGGCCGGGGGCGGGAGCTCCACTCACCAAACTGCAGCAGCAGGAAGATCGCGCAGAGGAGCAGCAGGGCCTCCCTGGGGCCGCTGCGTGGGACCATGGCACCAAGGAGCAGGACAGGCCGGGGCCTGACCCAGGACAGCGCCAACTTCCGGGACAGCCCGAGTGCGTTTTCAAAAGCAGGCATCCGGCTGGGCGCTCCTGATCCCAGCACTTCGGGAGGCAGAGGCGAGAAAATCGCTTAAGGCCAGGAGACAACAGAGACCATCTCTACGAAAAATAGAAAAGTTAGCCCGGCAAAGTGGCGCGCGCCTGTAGTCTCAGCCCACCCAGCCGGGAGGCTGAGGCAGGAGGATCGCTCGAGCCCAGAAGTTTAAGGGCTGCAGTGAGCTGTGACGCTGCCAGTGGACTGCAGCCGGGGCTACACACAGAGATCCTACCTCCCCTCAACCCCCAAAAAAGCCCCCGCCCCGCCCTGCCCTCCTGCGCTGGGCCCGCCCCTCCGCGCTCCGTCCGCCCCCCCCTCCTGCGCTGGGCCCGCCCCTCCGCGCTCCGTCCGCCCCGCCCTCCCGCGCTGGGCGGTCTGCCGGCGTCTGCGCGCGCTCCCGGGGCGTGGCCGACAGCGGTCTCTTTTTAAGGAAGGAACGCTCCTTCCCGCTTGGAGAGAAAATGGCTTGCGTTTTGAGAACCGGGTTTATCTCCGTGGCTAGCACACTCCCAGCACTTTTCCTCGGGTGTGGGACGCGCTGGAGGGCGGGCGGAGCAGAAGCCCCGAGGAGCTCCCGGGAACTTGGTTCCCTCAGCGATCTGGGACTGTGGACGACACAGTCTCTTTGAGTCACTTTTTCCTCAAATATTAAAAGGAAAGGGAACATTGTAGACAACGGCTAGAATGTGGGGGTGGGCTGGTGCCGCCCCCGGCCCTGCCCAGCGCTTTTCTTTCCTGGACCGTCCCCTCCCCCCGGATTCTCTTAGCCGGAGCTGGGATTTCCAGACTTTGGTTTCTCCCCCCACTCCTCCCCATCTCAGCTGTGGACTTTCCCTCAGACTGTGGGCTCAGACCTGTTATCTCCCTCAGGATTTGGCCTCCCAGAATAGATGTACCTGAGCTGCAGCAGGAGCTAAGTCTCCCTCTGGGTCAGTCCTGACTGGGCTTGCCCTTCCCTCAAGTCCATCAGATCCCAAACCAAATGCCTCTGTTCTCAGAACCAGCTGCTCACAGCAGCCTCCCTACCAGTCCCCTTTCTTTGAGACAGAAGCATTCGCTATCAGCATTGCCCCTGCCCAGCAGAGGGATTCAAGAGAATTCTGTTATCACTTGAGCCCAGGAAGCGCCACAAACTAGACACCCTGGTGCCAGATAAAGACCAAAAGACGCTTTAAGTTGTGAAATTTGAGCACAAATATGCTTTCTTGTTGCTACTATCTCTATTGTTTGCGTGGGAAACTTAGTCACTCAAGACACTGAGGCTGTACTGCAAGAATTCATGAATTATTTAAATCAGCCATAAAATCCTAGAAGGCATCTCTATCAATGAAATTTAAGGGGACCAATGTCCCATAATAAGAAGCTGGCTATCTTAAGACATTCCTTATCATCTCTGGACACTGGGAGCACAAGCCAAGGGCAAGCTGCTGCATAAGATATGAGGAAATCAAGTTTCCCCCCCTGCTGGGTGCTGGGGGAAACTCGGGGCCAACTTGGAAAGGTAGGATGGGGTCAGACCTTCACACACTGGCGAGCCACTGGAAGTTTTTGAGCTAGAAGTGATAGGACAGCAGACATCTGTACAGCAGTCACTAGAATCTAGGCCCTGTGTGAAGAGCAGCTCCTGGATCTGGTTAATTACTGTCTTCATTTTTACTAAGGAGGAAACTGATGCTTGGAGAGAGTAAAAGACTTACAGAAGGTCACACAAAAAGGGGCAGAACTGGGAATCCATCTGAGGCCAAAGTCTCCAACCACTCTTACTCTTTCATATGGGAGCAGGCTATAACTCTGGACTAGCAGCCAATGCCATCAAACCCTTCAGGAGCAGGACAGAAGAATGGCAGTCACCTGGGGCTGGGAAAGTACCTCCCAGGTCATAGTCTCCAGGCACTGGGTAAGGAATGACTCCCTATGCCTTTGTGGCTGGACTCTCCTCTGACCACGGAGCAGTGCCAGCTCTGTCATTAAGCAAAATGCTGTGCTTCCATCTAGCACTTTTAGAGGTGCTTATAGGCCTGGTTAGCAGACTTCATGAATCAAAATGGCTCAGAAGACTGGACCTGCAATGTTAAGCAGACAGCCAAAAAGGCTCCCTTCATACATTGAGAACTTGCCACCAGAAAGAGGGCTGGATATATTTTTCATCTTATGATCAGTGTTATGAGATCCAATTTCATCTTCTTGACACTGTAAATAATCATGGATGAGAAGGTAAGAAAGGAGGGCCCATTCAGCCTGCTCAAGAGGCTGGGGCATGTCATTCTCACATGCACTGGCTCTAGTTCCTGCCAAGCCCTTGGAACTGCTCCCACAAAGCTTAGGCAGCAAAACACTGCCCTTAATCCTGCACAAATGTAAATTGTCATTTTCATTGTATCCTCATGGGGAAGCATAGATTCACTTCATTTATATAAACATTGGATTTCCACAAAGGGCATAGAAGGATAATTTTATTATATAATACTCTATTTCCCTTTAAAAAATGTTCTCTGGCAGAAAGAGAACATTTGGGAAAAAATAGGCAAAACTAATACATAAGACTTAACATGGAACCACTGTGGGTACCCAAGGAATAAATAGTCACAACTCTCGGCCAAGCCTGCAGCTGCAAGAAGTTGATAAGGACGCAGCAGATGTGGCTGGGGAGTGTCCATCAAAACCTTCACAAGTCCTGGACCTAGAAAAAGAATGGAAAAAGAGGGTGCACCTCCCTTTGCTTTTTATCCTCTATTTAGTGCTTTTGGCATGTTCTATGAATTTTAAAGAATTACAGGTGGGTTCTCACTAATCACATATCACCGCTATGGCTTTAATCACTCTAACAGTCTTGCTTTGCAGATGTGGTAAAGGCCTCCTCCCAACACTGGAATTTCAGAGGGAACAGAGGCTGAGGTGCTGTGCGGTCTCCCTGCATAAGAATGTACAGCTCTTGCTTCATCCTGGGAAATGCCTGCTGATGATTTCACAGTCAGGGCAGTACCACATTGTTGGGGAAGGATGGTGTGGTCCCATTCTTGGGCAGAGGCCCAAGACACCAAGGACAAAGCTGTCCCATATTCCTACTCCCTTCTGGTGGTAAGAACTTGCCACCAGAAAGAGGGCTGGATATATTTTATATATTCCCTGAAGGGTTTGATGGCATTGGCTGCTAGTCCAGAGTTATAGCCTTCTTCACCAGTCTCCTCTCTCTGCATCCTTCCCCCTACCCACCAAGAAAGCTAGAAGCTATGAGATCTACATTCTGAACCTGACTTTCAGGCTCTAGGGGTATTGTGTGTTGTTTACCGTGGCAGTCAGGGTGAAGGTATATGTTTTTTATGATGTATTTCAGGAGATGGCAGCAAAGTGTCTTGGGGGAAAAGGTGTTTTTATCACTTGTGCAAGGGCACTTTTGAGCCTGGGTGTGGGGCAAATTGTGGACCCTGAGCCTAATAGGCCAGTACTGAGGCAGAACTGTCAGCCCCCACAGCACAGCTCTGCAGAGGACAGTGGCTGAAGTGAAGTGAAAGGAGGATCGAAGACTCAAATAAATGTGAACAGCCATATTTTCAACATAATTTACTACAGGTCTCTGAAGTGTATATAAAATGTTTTAGTGCAACATCTTACAAATAGTTTTCCTTTAAAAAAACAAAACAAATCAACAGTTCTCTACATCATGCATGGGTACTTTTCTTACCCCACCTCTTTTTTCTTCAAAAATTAACGCAGAGAAACCATTGTTTGAAACAAATATGAAAACTTGCTACAGAAAACACCCTGGTGAAAGAGGGTGTGGTCATATTCATGTCCTGGAATGCGCCTAGCACAGTGTAGTTTTTCATTAATGCAACATTGTAGACGTATTTGAGTCCAGAGAGTGTTCAGCAGTTCACCTCTTGGCCTCAGAAGACTAAAGCTCCAGTAGACAATGTGCAATAAGGTCTTGCAGCCACTGGAGGGCACCATTACCATTCATCTGACACCACATTTCCATAGAAATGGCCAAAGGTCCTGGGGTTTGTCATAAAAAGCTAGAAAAGCACAACCTTTGATGGTATCCCCCAGCCCAATAGAAAATACACAGAAAGAGCAATTATTAAAATACTGGCTTCGGTTTCTTTTTTCCTTTCAAATTTCCTGTGATTGCTTTACATATTTAATTACATGCAGCACTGAGTTTTCTACTGCTGTGAACCAATTCAAACTAAAATCTTAGTTACACATCCCAGTCCCAGCCAGCCCTCTGGCATCCTTCCATTCAGGCAGATGAAAAGTCAGTCCTCCTCCCTCACTGACTCAGCCTATAAATTTGAGTCAGAAAATTCCCACTGAAAGCCCACATCCCTGAAATGAAGAAACGGGGCAAAAGACCTTCCTTCTTCATGACTGAGCCGATTCTGTACCTCTAACATGTTGATGCAGCATAATAAATGAGAATCAGCATGCCAGGCAACAGCAGGATTAAGGTGGCGGTGACTGCACTGTCTCGTAGGACGGCACTGATGTACACGGGAGGGAAAAGACAGAGCCATGTAAGTCTGTCAGAAAATGGCTGAGCAACTGCCTTGCTTCCCCTCAGCTTGGCTCAGCAACACACCTGCTGACCAGCTCTGTCCACCTGCATGGCTGCGCACCTGCATGCCTCAGATGAGGATTGGCATTCACACAGCCTCCCCTGGAGGCTGTTCACCCTCAGAACAAGACTCTGCAGGAACCTCTCTCGTCAGACTTCATCCCAGAATCCCTGGTGGCTTTTTTCAAATTGGGACTCTTCTTGGGATTCAAGGTGCAAATTCCTTGACGAAGGGAGATGGTACACTTGGCCAACAAAATATGGTTAAGGAACAGCATAATAAACATCTTCATGGAGGAATTCTTTTCCAGCCGATGATGCTCCAGGGCACCAAGCATCCGGCCTGCAGTATCAAGTAACAGGGTTGGGCTCAAGGGGCATTAAAACAAAAGCCACCATAAAATGAACACTCAACCTAAAACTGTAGAAAATAATCCAAAAAAGGGAAATAAAACCCCAAAGACAATGTATGCGACCATTGTCTGCTGAGACTAGGGAAAGGGTGGCAAAAGGCTGCAACTGGACCTCGCCCTGGCCAGTGTTCTCACAGCATGAGAGAGAGGGAAAGGGAAAAGGGAAGGAAGACATTGATATCATGGAGGAATCTACTTGGAAGGAGAAAGAAAAGCCTGGTCTGCACACCTCCAGGGAGGTAGATTACTCCTCTGAACTCTCCAACATCAGGCCCTACCCTTCCCACCCCTCCCCAAACTTAGTATCCCATTTGTCACCAAACTCAGTGTTGGACAGCTCCATGCCCTCCACCGGGTATATACAGTGGCTGCTTTGGCCCCTGTGCTCAGCTGAGGGCTGTCCTCCTTCCAGGCTTAGTGTGTACTGTCCTTTAAGAGCTTTGGCAACATGCCTGCAGACAGCAGCCCTCCTGCCACAGTGTCCGGTGGAGACTGCCCTTGCGCACGATCAAGCCAGTACTCAGCCTTTCATCCCTTCCTTCTCTAATCACTGACTTTGATCAAACTGAAAGTGAGCAGCGGCTAAAAGCCGCCCTCTGCCCATTTTAAGTCAGAAAGTGTGAGCTGTCACGAGTTTTTGACCTGTTCACCAAGACAGTTTTCTTATTTTTTGGCAAGGATAGAATGAAGCTTTTTTTTTTTTCTTCCTGACAGACAGGCCAAGCACCTTCTACTCCTAATGAGGTTATATGGAATTTTGCTCATACACACACAGTTCTTTGAAGCAAAATCCAATGCTTTCACCTTGACTACAAAGTGGTTCCAACAACTCTAGCTGAGGGAAAAGAGAAGATACAAATATTGCCCACATTATACACAATTTTCAAGTCTTGTTAAGTAATTTTAAAAAAAAAGAACAAAATGTTTGGGTATATTTGGATCCATGGGTGGCATTTTTAAAAATGTAAAAACAAAAAGTCTTGGAAGAGATTCCTTGTCACTAGAAAGTTCATCCTTCCTTTTGCCATCAGTTTTGTGTAAGAGAAATTCGTCCACACCATTACGGAATCCCAAATGGGGAAACCAAAGGGATTCAAACAAGAATACCTTACAAAGAATGAACGCCCTTTCACATCTATCTGAGAATACGAGAGGAATCAGTGAGCAGGTGTGGCACCTGAAGCTACTCACTACATTACTAAAAACAAAAACAAGAACCCTATAATGGCAGATCACTTTTGCGCACAAATCGCTAACCGACTGAGACCGCCATCTAATGGTGGTCTGTCTCTGTGACTGATTGAGAATTCTGAACGCTTTTTCAAGTCTGACGATGTTCTGCACGGGCACTCCAGAGGGCGGGTGCTGTCAACTGTCCAGTCACAGAGCGGAGGCGGCAAGGGAGAGCCTCGGCTCCTTGTGGCCGACGTCAGTTGGGCGTTCCCCCTAGTCTATGGCCCCTGGGTGGATGCTGAGCACCGGGGGCTCCAGGCAGGTGGGGGAGTAGTTGAGGTGCGGCTCTTTGATCCACAGCAGGGGCACCCCGTTCTTCCCCTCAGAGTTCTTGCTAGAGTTGCGGCTCTTGAAGCGCACCAGCAGGATGGTGATGATAAGGATGCCGAAGATGGGGAAAGGGTAGAAGAACACGAAGTAGAAGAGGGCATCGTTGGAGCAGATGACAGACTGGAGGGTGGGACCTAAAAGGGAGGACGAGGGAAGTCAGACGTGCGAACTGAGAAGGCCGACTGCCAGTGCCTTCCTGAAGACCTCGCCCCAGCCCCAGCCCTAGCCCCAGCATAGCTCCTTGGTGGCACTCCCACACCACCCTGCCCTTCCCTGGCGGCCACCAACGCTGGGAAAGTGCGCTGATGTTCCTTTTCTCACAACCTGCCTCTCCCAATTCCCAAATGTAAATTCCACCAAAATGGTGCTTCCATTTTCCATTGAAATCCATTATTACTGCTTGGAAAGCCACTTAACAAAATGTCCCATATTGACTGGGAACTCAATGGCATCCAGGATGGTAAAGAAGCTGCCCCCGTTTGTTCTGAATCTCCTACACAGTTCTATCTCACGTGTCCCTTCCCACTTAGTTTGCTACTAACTTTCTTCTCTCAGATTATAACATGTTTCCTTCCTGCCAGCCTCTGAGAGCAGTTTTCCAGAAATGATGCTTACCTGATTAAAGTTATCAACTAAAATGGCATTATGGACCATTTGCAAATGTCCTCAGTGTGTCTATGGCTATACAGAGCTCAGGGTTAGTTACAGCTGGGTATGGAAAAGAATAAGGGCTGTTCTTTACCTTATTACACCTGGGGAGGAACCTGTCCCTGGATGCCTATGTTTTCTCTGCTGGGAGAAAATAAGGCTGCTGAGCCATCTCTGTGCTCTGTGAAGCTTAGTCATGGACATCAACAGTGGGCAGGTAAAGGGCCACCTCAACACCTTCCTTTTACTTGTAGACAACGACCACCACTTTTAGGTGGTTCAATAGATCATTCCCTTCACTGCATAGCTGTTGCTCACCAGTATTATTGAAGAAATTGAACCATACACCTGCACTTATTAGATTTCCAAAGTGTATGAAATTGCTGATAGTCAACCATTTTTGACCTGTAAACCTCAATTTTACATAGTTCTATCCAACACAATGTTAACCTCAGGTGCAATAGAGGCCAAACTCAAAAACTCCAATCAAGGTCATGTGGTAGAATGTTTTGACTAAAGGAAGTTGAAAATTCCAGCAATTTTAAAATGTCTGCACTATAGCTAATTCTACTAGAACACACACCATTTTCAGTGTGATATATTCCATGTTTTGGTGCAAGGCCAGCAAAAGTGTGCTTTTTACAACAACCAATCCAGGCCAGCAAGTTTTTCTTCCAGACTCACGTCAAAGTCCTTCAGTAGGACTGAAACTCTTGGGTTCTGGACCCTTCTGTAGCAACAGGGCTGGCTGCTAAGCTCCTCCCAGTGCTCCTGTAACTTCAAATTTCTGCCAGGGTGCTCCTCCCAACTAACCTGAAGCAAAATCTACCTAAACCTCCAAGTCACCCTCCAAAATAAAAACGACCTGGAAATTTGAGAAAAGAAAGCATGGCAGTGAGGTATTCGGGCTTCATTTTTCTCTTCCTCTTGTGAGTCTGAAACACTTGCTATTTCACTAAAGAGAGACTAAGTTCAATATTCTACAAAGTAACAAATGTGTAATAATAAAGTTGTACAATGAAATCTTATAAAATAGGATGTGGTAGAACATCAAGTTCTTTGTAAATATTCTACAGTATATTATCACTTTAACTCCTATGCCACAAGCAATCAAGGGTCAATTAGATGAACTAGTATGTCAAACCCTACCAGATCCCAAATCCCACTAATAAATACCCATGATGGTTAAGAACACTGCTAATTAACCCATAATCAGACTCTAAATTTATCTTCCAGACACAGTGGGAACCAACAGTGACATCCTTCCTCTATAACTGCAAAAACTCACTTGTATCCAGAACATGGATGCTGATGGGGGCCGACTCCTCCTCTGTCAGCCGGTACCACTCCCTCTGAGGGCTGGGCAGCCACTCCTCCACACGGCAGGAGTAGTTGCCTGTGTCTCGGGGGCTTGCCCGCAGCACCGTGAGCCGGTAGAGCACTGGGGACAACCTCTGGAAGCGCAGCCTGCCCTCCCAGGGACTGCCCTCGGGGCCAAACACAGCATCGGGGCCCACGCTCAACAGGGCCGTGCGTTCTGTGGGGTCATCCTCCTCATCTTCCTCCTCTTCTTCCTCCTCCTCCTCCTCCTCTCTCTCCTCCTCCTGCTCTTCCAGGCCAGAACTGCCCCTTTTCCCTCCAGCTTTAGTCCTCAGGGAATACCAGGCCACAGCAAAGCGAGAGTCCTGGCTGGAGCGGGACACGATGTTACAGTCCAGTTGAAAAGCTGCCTTCTCAGACACCGTGGCATTGGGGACCAATGTGTCCACCTGCAGGGCAGCATCTGGGATGGGACAAAGAAGGGAGAAGAAGCTGTTTTAATTTATCTGCTCAAAACAAACTAATATCTATCACTAAATACACAGTGGTAATACTCTCGCAGAATACTACTGAAAACCCATTTAGAAACCATTACATGCCGAGATGTGGAAGGAGACTCAGAAGTTATCAGAGTACAGAGCACTGTGTATTCTCCATATCACTGTATGCAGAAAAAAAATATTCTGACATATGTATCTGTTCATATTTGCATAAGAAACTGGAAAACCTCACAAGCTGGCAATGTGGCTGCTTATGAGAACCCCAGGAGGAAGAGACACTTATTTTCACTGTAACCCCCTGTAGTGGTTGAATGGTCTCCCCAAAATTCATGTCCACCTGAAAACTCAGCATGTGACTTTATTTGGAAATAGGGTCTTTGCAGATATACTTAGCCAAGAGGAGATTATAATGGATTAGGGTGGGTCCTAAATCCAATGAATTATGCTATGAACTGCATTATGTCCCCCACCCCACCAAATTAGTTATTTTGAATCTCTAATCTGTGGCTATATTTGGAGATAGGGCTGTGAGAGGTAATTAAGGTTAAGTGAGGACATCGGGGTAGGGCTCTAATCCAGTAGGAATGGTGGCCTCGTAAGAAGAGGGAGAGTGTCTTTCTCTCCAGGCACATGCACTAAGGAAAGGCTACATGACGACTGAGCAAGGAGGCAGCTGCCTGTGAGCCAGAAAAAGAGCCCTCACCTCGTCCGGCCCTGCTGGCACCCTGATCCCAGATGTCCAGCCTCCAGGAATGTGAGGAAGTAAATGTCTGTTGTTTAAGCCTATGGCATCCTGTTATGGTGGCCAAGCAGGCAAAGACAATAAAACAACTAGTGTCCTCATCAGAACAGGAGAGGACATGCAGAGAGGAGGCCACGTGGTGATGGAGACAGATAGGACTGATGTAGCTACGAACCAAGGTCAGCCTGGGGCCACAGAAGCTGGAAGAGGCAAGGAAGAGATTCCTCCTAGAACCTGCTGCGGAGCACAACTATGGCAGCACCAATGCTGGAATTCTGGCCTCCAGACTGTGAGAGAACAAATCTCTTTTAAGCTACCAAATTGGCAGCGATTTGGGAACAGTCACTGAATAGAGATATGGTGACTTGTGAATTTCAACTGTGTGCACGTGACTTGCTGCCTAAGCCACAGTGAGCCCAAGGAGGTCACTGTCTCTCCAAGGATTGATGCCAAGTGACAAACAACAGACCTCAAAGGGTCCCTCCCTCAGAGCACAGATGACTCAGGAGGATGGACACAAAGTATCCTCCCAACTGAGGGGGGCACAGAGAACACCACAGAAAATTACCTGAGCAGGTGAGCCACATTACAGACACCACCAGGCAGGGTTTGTGTGATCCGTGTTTTTTACTGCCTTTTTTTTTTTTTCCTTTTTGGCTCACTGCAATAGGTCCCAAACAAATAATGTGCTCCCTAGCTCCTAAAAAGCCTCCCTTTGGCTCTGTTTATGAAATGTTCATGAAAGATGCCAATGTATTCTCAAAAAAGTGGAGATACCAAATCAGATCCTACTTGGATGAAGACCAAATGGGAGCTAGGAGCATTTCCCAAGTATTGTCTTGGGCTTTCGATGAATTGGCTTAATGTTTTCACAGGTGAACACAAGGCTGGGGTCCCCACTGCTCTTGTGGGGCTCTGCCAAGCGCCACTGCCCCCCGCACACTCGTGACCATCTGGACTGTCAGTGTGCTCTGCTGGCGCAGGAAGGCTTAGTAACTGGCTCCAGGTGGCAGCGCGGCCATCAGCCCAGCTCTCACAGGCAGGAGAATATGCTGGAGGGCAGGAAACGGCAGGAGGGAGAAGATTAAATCAGTTCACAGATGACTCCAACTCATTCAGCTCATCAGCTTACCTTTCCAGATAGCATGGCTGATGTGTGACCCCAAAGCCATTAGCGAGCCATACCAGAGACCAAGGAGTGATGGATAGTGCTTTTTTTCCTGCAGAGTCTAACACTGCCCTCCAAAGCTCCCAGTGACTGGCTAATGTGTCAAAGGAGGTGGCCTGAGCAATGTGCAACAAACTGGTCATGACAAGGCCACAGCTGGCCAGAGGACATGCAGCATTTAGTGGCCTCAGAAGCTCCTCCTCCCCATCTCCTCCCCCTTGGCTTTCTTCTCTTTGACCACTTGCAGTTTGGGGAGAGGGGGGACTGCAAGTACCTTGTTGCATTAAAGACTCAATTAAAGTTTTTTGAATGTGATTAATTTCCCACTTCCCGTAAATTCCTCCCCTTGACACACTTCTCTACCAATGTGGTTCCTTGTGTCTGTCCCCTTGTAGAAGCCAACCCTTCTCCCTGTTCAAACTTTGGCATTCTTTCCTTTTCCAAGGATAAGTCATGGAAAGATGTTTAGACTCCCACTGCTGCCTTTGCACTGTATTAACTGCCCCCTGGCTATTACCTTGACCACCAATTTCTATCCTGGGTACAAGTATGGTTTTCTCTCTTCCCCCGTTATGTGAGCCAAACACAACTCCTACGGTCTGACCGAGGGCAGGAGCCCTTCATTTCACACACTTCAGCTGGCAGGGAATGCTCAGACCCTGAGTAATGGAAGATGATTTTTTAAAACACGACTCATTGAGCTATGTTATTTCAAGTCTTGCATGTGTTTAACTTATACCTCAGAGGGGGGAAAAAAATCTTTGGCGTACAGCTGCACAACGAATGTTACAAAATCAGTAAAAATGTTGGTTATGAAATGCTTCCAACATCATGGAAAAATGCTTGCAAAAGAATGTTGAGTAGGGCAAAAAGAAAAAACAATCACATACAGCAGTGAGATCCTAGCTTCATTTAGGGAGAGAGACAGAGGGAATGTGAAGATAGGAGGCAAAGACGAAAAAGCATACACTGAGTTATTAACAGTAGGTATCTGTAGGCAGCGAGATTATGGGGAACGCTCCTTTTCAAATCTGTATGTTTCTGTTTTCCAAGTTTTGTAATTAGCACAGTCAACTCACACAATCAGGAGCAGGCAGACAGACAGACGGAAGGAAGGCTGAGCCGGGCCAGCCGTCTGGGTTGAACAGGAGACAGACGCAGAGACACAGGTTTGAAGGGCACGTCAGGAGCGCAAAGTACAGCAAGAAAGATACCAGGCGACCCCTCGGCCTGTTCCTGCTGGCTCTGTGGTGACCTCTCCGGCCCTTCGTTCATCATCAGCAAAGCCCACCACTGAGTTTCCTAACTGTGACTGGGATGTAGCTACACTCAATAAACGTCTGTCTCCTCCCAGTCCACCTCAGTGTGGTGACCCGGAGCATGGCTGGGCGTAGAGGAGGGGAGAGGGGTCAGCTGCCATTCTCTACAATTTCACCATAGGGGAAAGATAAGCACCCTTTCTAGGCAAGACAAAAAGCAAAAAAGAATATATAAATAAATAAAAGCTTGTGAGAAAATACGAGTAACTCGAAGTAGAGGTGATCTCCCTTCAGCTTAGGCAAAACACAGGTGAGTGAGATACTGGCCCTTTCCCATAACAAAGGGTATATGAAACTCCCCGAAGCATGTTCGGTGACATAGGACGCATATAGCAACCGTGAAGCTATGTTCCACCAACAAAAAGAACCGTGCCACTCAGACGTGAAAGACATTACCGAAACCTCCAACATCAAAGACCACAACGTCAGGGGGCTCAGAAAACGATAAAACACTCGGACCAACGGAGGTCACAAATTCACTCCTGCCCCAGGTCCTTCTAGGAACCACTGGCTTTTCACTCTGAGATGCATGAATAATGTTGTGATGCTACAACAGGACCCAGGAATCTTGTACATCTCAACTTTAATTATGTGGTTAAATATGTGACGATAATTATACACTTAGTATTGAGATATGCATGTAGGTACTTTCAAAATAGCAATAAAGGTAAGAAAAGTAAAAGGACGCACAGAATAGTCATTAGTACCAATAAAATTACTAGGAAGTGAGAAAGTCAAGGCTAAAGATACTTCATCATTTCCTATTTAAGACATGTAAGTCGATTATTTTCCACTGGAAATCTAAAAGCTTTTCTGAACCTCGTGGCTATTGTTTCAAGATTTTGGTCATATCCGCTATTTGTCCAAATCTAAATCTGATGTCCTTTAAAGAGGAAACACAATGATTTAGAATAATGAATTGCCAGATTTTACCCTAATTAAGAACTGAACCACCTTAGTAGGTCAAACCCAGATGTGCATTTTTCCATTCACAAGGAAAAAACTAAGCCAATTCTGTAATACAAACTGATGAGGTAAATGCTTATATATTTGATTGCAAATAATTTATTAATAAAGTAATTTTATGCACTGAGGGGAAACACCTAACAGAGAAGAAGCATGGGGACAGAAACCCTCACCTGGCCGCATGACGGTCACAGCTGTCTGCCCAGCAGTGTCCTCTGCCCGTTTATACCACACACCGCTGGGGCTGGGCAGCCACTCCTCCACGCGGCAGCTATAGGTCCCACTGTCCTGCACAGCCGCGTTCTGGATGAAGAGCCGGTACGTGCCAGGGGAGGGGCTCTCCAGGTGCAGCCGCCCCTGCAGCTTGTTCTTGGCCGCCTGCTCTCCATACTGGAAGGTGGCCTCTCGACTCAGGCGGGCCACAGTCTCCCGCTCAGGGTGGTTGGGCTTCCATACAAACCACTCCACCACGAGCTGGGAGGCCATGCTGGTGCGGTTCAGGACCACACATTCCAGCTGCACCTGCTGAGTCTCCAGAACTGACAGGTTCCCCTGGGCTTGGCTGAGCTTCAGGCGGCTGTCTGGAACAGCGAAGAAGGGGACATTAGTAACAGGAAGACACCAGCAATTTGCACACACCCTTTCCACAGGCAGGTGAACAAGTGCCTTCTGAACATGAAGGACAGCGGCACAGACCCCATTAGCAAAAAAAGTTCTCAGATGTGGCACCCTAAACATTCTAGTTCCCTGATCACGGGTCTGCAGTGTCTAGGTTTCAATGAATTCATAACCTCATTGGTTACCCTTTTTTTCTTTTCCATTTTGAGAGAGTCTCACTTTGTCACCCTCAGTTGAGTGTTGTAGCATCATAGCTCATAGCAACCTCAAACTCTCGGGCTCAAATGAGACTCTTGCCTCAACCTCCTGAGTAGCTGGGCTACAGATGCCCACCACAAATGCTGAGCTATTTTTAGAGATGGGCTCTCACTCTTGTTCAGGCTGGTCTTGAACCCACGAACTAAGGCAATTGACCCACCTCGGCCTCCCAGAGTGCTGGGATTACAGGAGTGATCCACCACATCCGGCTCACCTCATTGCTTCTATTGTGCTGATGAGAACAAGCACTAGTGGAGAGGACCACACATCCGCACGACACCAGGTCACAGAGCGCACAGTGGAGAGGACCACACATCCGCA